CTCAAATGTAATTGGACAATTTTATTCCAGGTACTTCTATAGCGCCGTCAATTTACGCCGCGCTTTACATATATATTGTACATTCACATCAGTCCCTAACCCTCAAGGGGCATACAATCTAAGGTCCCTAACCCTCAAGGGGACATTTTGAGGGGACAGAAAATTTACATGTTTATACAAGCTGTACACTGACTACGTCACATTGTAACAGTGTCATTTCTTCAGTGTTGTCACATGAAAATGAGAGAATCAAATATTTACAAAAATGTGATGGTTGGGCTCACTTCTGGGAGATACAATATATATTGTACATTCACATCTGTCCCTAACCCTCAAGGGGCGTACAATCTAAGTCCCTAACCCTCAAGGGGCGTACAATCTAAGGTCCCTAACCCTCAAGGGGCGTACAATCTAAGGTCCCTAACCCTCAAGGAGCGTACAATCTAAGGTCCCTAACTCACATTCATACATACACATACTAGGGACAATGTAGACAGGAGCAATTAACCTGCCAGCATGTCTTTGGATTGACAATTGCATCTTATCATAAATAAAATGTTCATTTGTAATATTTTATTGAGAATCCTTTACTGGCAACGACTGCCTGAAAGTCTGGAACCCATGGACATGACCAAAGACTGGGTTTCCTCCTCTCTGATGCTTGCCAGGCTCTAATGCAGATGTCTTCAGTTGTTTGTGGGTCTTTCTGCCTTTAGTTTTGTCTTCAGCAAGTGAAATGCATGCTCAGTTGGGTTGAAATCAGGTGATTGACTCGGCCATTGCCAGAATATTCCACTTCTTTTCCCTTCAAAAGCTCCTGGGTTGCTTTTGCAGTGTGGTTTTTGGATCATTGTCCATCCTGTTCTCTGTGAGAAGCGCCGTCCAATCACCTTGCTGCATTTGGCTGAATCTGGCTGACAGTATATCTGTAAACACTGCAGAATTCATCCGGACTGCTCTGTCTTCTGTCACCATCATCAATAAACACCAATGACCCAGTGCCACTGGAAGCCATGCATGCCCATCGCCACACACCGCCTCCGCCCATGCCACACCGCCGCCTCCCCGCCCATGGCCACAAGACCCGCCAGCCTCCCGCCCATAGCCACACACACACCCCGCCGCCTCCGCCCATGCCACAAGTAACCCCGCCGCCTCAGACCGCCCATAGCCCCACAACCGCCGCCTCCTTCCCATGCCACACCGCCGCCGTTCGCCCATGCCGACACACACCGCCGCCTCTAACCGCCCATGCCACCACCATGTTTTTACAGATGACGTTGTGTGCTTTGGATCATGAGCTGTTCCAAGCCTTCTCCAAAATTTTCTTCCCGTCATTCTGGTACAGATTAATCTGAGTTTTCATCCATCCAAAGAATGCTTTTCCAGAACTGGTCCGGCTTTTTTTTAGATTTTTTTTTGGCAAAGTCTAATCTGGCTTTTCTATTCTTCAGGCTTATGAATGGTTTTGCACATTGTTGGTAAACCCGCTATTTGCTCTCTCGTGAAGTCTTCTCTTGATTGTATACTTTGACAACGATACGCCCACCTCCTGGAGAGTGTCCTTCACGTGTCTGGATGTTGTGAATGTTTTTTCTTTACCATAGAGAGGATCCTGCGATCATCCACCACTGTTGTCTTCCATGGACAGCCATCCTTTTTATGTTGCTGAGCTCACCAGTGCGTTTTTCTTTCCTCAAAACGTACCAAACTGTTGATTTGGCACGCTCCTAATGTTGCTATGCGAATCTCTCTGATCGGATTTGTTTCCTATTTTAAGCCTTACAATGGCCTGTTTCACTTGCATTGACAACTCCTTTGAAAGCATACTGTAGAGGTTCACAGCAATAGATTCCAAATGCAAATACCAAAGTTAGAAGAAACTTCCAGACCTTTTTTACATGATTAATTGAACAAAGGAGTAGCCCACACCTGGCCATGAAACAGATTTGATTCAACTGGTCCAATTACTTTTGGTCCCTTGAAAAAGGGGGGGGGATAGCTAATCTTAAGGGCTGTAATTCTAAACCCTTCCTCCAATTTCGATGTACATACCCCAAAATTAAACCTGAGCATGCACACTGTCCGCCCATAGTAGTGGGAACCCCCACTACTTTTTCCCAATTTTATTTAATTGCTGGCAAAATGTTTGTTTATATTCATCCGGCTGTCAAGGACGCCGGGTGGCTGCCCGCACCTTGCAGCCATGTTGTTTTACCTGGTTGTTCAGGAGCAGGCGGCAGCCGGCATCCTTTACAACCAGTAAAGTCACAGAATGCATAAAAAATACATTAACGGGTGTGGGAAAAAAAAACCAAAATGCATCAACCGCTATCTGCATAGATGTGTAAGCCCGCCTAACACCCCAAATAGTTCAAGGGTTAAAAGTAATTTCCAGTCTATTAATGTGAAGAGCGAGATACTACAATGTCACTGTGCACTAGGCAACACATACAAAGTCCTGCACATGAAATCCATGGGAAAAAGAAAAAAAAAAAAAAAAAAAAAAAACTTCCCTGGACTACAAATCCCACCTTTCCAAAACACATCGAATGCCTCTTCTGTGGTTTTAACTTCAACTTCTGTGCACCCAGCAACATACATGTTATGGTTCTGGTCTTCCCCGTAAGATCTTAGACTGTGGGGGTCTGGTAATAGAATAATGGTAGTTCAGGATTAGTATGGTTTTTGGTAAAAAAAGAGCATACATATAGCTAAAAAAGCGTAGATTAGCCAAAATAGGAGAGCGTGCAGCCCATGCAAATGTATAGATTAGACACATGACAAGAGGACAGTGGTGATGAGGATGATGATGATGGTGGTAAGCTTTTGTCTACATAACTAGGGAATCAGGCAGACAGCTGGGCAACAAGCAAAAGCTATGTAATATAAGACATACATAAACTCTGCATTCTTTCCCGGCGTGTTCCATCTAACAAAGAAATAGCAAAAAGTTACAAACTTTTATTTCACATTACTGAAAACAAAAAAAAAAAAAAAAAAAAAAAAAACCCTGCAGCATGCAGATAAAAAAACAAAAACAAAAAAAACCTGACTCATGAAAAGGAATTCCCGCTAAAACTCATTTAAACAGAAGGAGAAGGGAAAGAAAGAAAGAATGCCACCACACACAAAAACACACAGGGCAGACATTTACAGACCAAAAACTAAAAATGTAAAATTTGTCACGGCCGAGAGTAAAGCGTGCCAACTTGATTTTTGTTTTTTTTATCAGTACTAGATTGTGGTTAGCACTGCACCCTTGTTTATTTTTGGCTATTACTAATTGTTAAAGCGGAGTTCCACCCAAAAGGGGAAGTTCCGCTTTAAAAAAGACTAGTCCCCCCCGCTTCCGATTAAGGATTGGCACCTTTGGGGAGCGGGTACCTGAAATTGACAGGTACCCGCTCCCACTTCGATCGCCTAGTGTCAGGGGTGGGCAAACTTTTTGACTTGAGGGCCGCAGTGGGTTCATATATTGGACCCGGGGGCCGGACCAAGAGTAGATGAATGATGTGTCATCCATAGTAAGTATAGTAATATTCCCCCATAGTAATTAATCCCCTATAGTAATTCAGCCCCCCTATAGTAATTCATCCCCCATAGTAATTCATCCCCCATAGTAATTCATCCCCCATAGTAATTCATCCCCCATAGTAATTCATCCCCCATAGTAATCATCCCCCCATATAGTAATTCATTCCCCATATAGTAATTCATTCCCCATATTAATTCATCCCCCATATAGTAATACATCCCCATATAGTAATACATCCCCCATATAGTAATACATTCCCCATATAGTAATTCATTCCCCATATAGTAATTCATTCCCCATATTAATTCATCCCCCCATATAGTAATACATCCCCCATATAGTAATACATCCCCCATATAGTAATACATCCCCCATATAGTAATACATCCCCCATATAGTAATACATCCCCCATATAGTAATACATCCCCCATATAGTAATTCATTCCCCATATTAATTCATCCCCTATAGTACTATTCCCCCCCAAGTAGTAAGCCAAGTCCCCCCTGTGTTCAATTTACTTACCTTTGCTCCGCGCGTTCCTCTCGCCGTGTTCCCGCGCCATTCCGGTCTTCAGGGCGGACTGCGAGAGGAGCCTAGCTACCCTCACGTTCGTCACGCTGCCCCCGCCTACACACATCCTGACAGCCAATGTATCACACTCCGCGGGCCAGATTAAAAGGTCCGCCGGGCCGTAGTTTGCCCATTGCTGGCCTAGGTGATCGGAAGCGGAAGTTGCCCTCCCCCTTCCCTCCCCGTAGTCTCCCTGGGACACGCGACAGGTCACAGAGGACGACGGGGTCATTCAAGAAGCGCAGCGCTTATCACGCATGCGCAGTGGGTACCGGCTGTGAAGCCACAAGCTGTCCACACTGAAGATATTGGCGCCAGGGAGAGAAGACGAGAAATTCTGAGGACCCTCTGCACACTGGTATATACCCTTTCAAGCAGACCTAATGCAATAAATAGGGATATTTTTGAGCACAGGATCTCTTGTTTGAGGGAGAGAAGACGGCCGCTGAAACCAGTGGTGGTGAAGACACCGCAGGACCGAGGGACAGGTAAGTGGCTGTATTTTTGTCTATGTAGCTGCAGACTTTTTCCCAGCTGGAACTCCACTTTAAGATGCCACTTAACACAGGGCTCTGAATATTAAAAAATAGCAGTTTTTTTTACATTTAGGCATTTAGCTTACTTTGGTTTGATGGGATCTATAGGCACCTCTTCCAAAAGATCATAGATGTAGTTATTGTAGATTTCAATGTAGGAAACAAACACACTATATACGCTATCTTCATCTACTTCTTCCACCTTGCAGTTATCTTCAATGTTAATCATGTCTGCAAATTCAGGTTCCATTCTGTGCCTGCAGGTCATATGTACATAAGTCATGGTAAAAATATCAGGCAGAAAAAAAAAAAAAAAAAAAAAAAAAAGAAAAAAAGGGGACAGGCTTATCTACCTACCTCATAGGGGTCCTGGGTACCTGCATCTGAGCGTCTCTCTTCTGCCGCTCCAATAATGCATCCACCTCATTCTGAATTTTTCAATGCCGTTTTTATCATCAGTCCTAAAAATCTGGAAAAAAAAAAAAAAAAGGGGTTTTAAACTAAACCAGTCATAAGTGAAAACAAAGGCAGCTCCCCACTGCTGATCTTGGCATTTGAAAATCCCAAATGCACGTGGGCCATCCTGCCTCATTATGGATCACTAAACACAGCAGTACGCAGATAGGAAGGTCTGTCTTGTGATCTTCAAAACCCATTACATGTCGAATGCTGAATGATTTGAAGCCAGAGGGTCAGCATAACAGACTACTGGTGATCAGCAATGGCAGTCCCCATATATCACATACTGTGACAAATATATACAGGCCATAGATGGGTCGTTTATTGGCCGAATTGTCAGAGGAGAGAAAATTAAAAAAAATAAATAAATAAATAAATCGGTCGCATGTCTGTTGCCACCAATGCTTACGAAAAACGTCCGTTTTTTCGTAGATTTTCCAGCATGACCGATAAAAGAAATGAGAAGGAACTGTGAAAAAATTGGTCAATGACATTGCCCCACTAACGGTGCAAATATTAGCCGATTATTGTTTCGGATGAAAATTTGGCCGATAAACGACCCGTCTATGGCCTGTAATACTGTGACCACCAGGCCTTTTTCTGACACTTTTGTTTACATGTAAAAGTCAGATTTTTTTGCTAAAAAATTAGAGTCTGCTGCAGTGAATACAATACAGGCCATGAATATACCTACTGTTGGCAGCCAAGCACGAGTCACATAAAAAGGGGGATGTACAGCAAATGACTGGATTCCAACATCAGACTTACATATTTCTGGGCCTGAAACCTGCTAATGCTGTTAAAAATCATGCTGAGACAGCGAGGCAATAGTCCTCCTTGCCCAGGAGATCCGGTCATCGTGTAAGTCTTCCCGCTTCCTGTGACACCATATGTAAAAAGAAGGCCTGGGAAAACAAAAACCAGAGAAGTTCAAGACACAAGCCTCCTACATCGCAGTCACGGGTAGAAATGTATCCAAAACAACATACCGTTTTTACCACGAATAAGATCTTCCACCAAAGGCTTAGCAACCACATCAAAGAGATCCTTTTGTGTCATCTGTGTTCCAAAAACTTGCTTAAATGAATATTGAGTCTATAAGAAAAAGCAGAACATGTAGTTAAACCCCCCCTACTGAAATCTGGCTGTGCGCAGCACGTCATTAAATGCCCGATCATTTCATCATGAAGCTGACATTTGGTTAATGATCCTAACAGAAGTTACAAAAGAAAATCTGAGGGATTAGGAAAAAAAAAAAAAAAAAAAAAAAAAAATTATATATATATACATACACACAAGTTTGTTTTGTTTTTCCCCATTTTTTCCTAATCCCTCAAGATCTCCTTTTGTAACTTCTACTAATGTGATATAGATTTTATATACACACACACACACCTATCTATCTATTATCTATCTATCTATTATCTATCTATTATCTATCTATTATCTATCTATCTATTATCTATCTATTATCTATCTATTATCTATCTATTATCTATCTATTATCTATCTATCTATTATCTATCTATCTATTATCTATCTATCTATTATCTATCTATCTATTATCTATCTATCTATTATCTATCTATCTATTATCTATCTATCTATTATCTATCTATCTATTATCTATCTATCTATTATCTATCTATCTATTATCTATCTATTATCTATCTATTATCTATCTATTATCCTATCTATTATCTATCTATTATCTATCTATTATCTATCTATTATCTATCTATTATCTATCTATTATCTATCTATTATCTATCTATTATCTATCTATTATCTATCTATTATCTATCTATTATCTATCTAATTATCTCTCTCTCTCCACATCACATTAACCCCTCGCCCTCCCCCTCCAGAGGCTTTGTCCCCCCCTTCCCGACCAGGCCATTTTTTGCGATGTGGCGCTGCGTTACTTTAACTGACAATTGCGCGGTCATGCAAAGCTGCACCCAAATAAAAGTTACAGCAGAACGTGGAAATCCACCCCTTCTGCAATCAGTGTGGTCCACCTGCAACTGGGAAGGACTACATTCACCACAACCCGTACTGTACAACAGCTTACATTTTATTTCCAGGAAACTACTTGAACAGTTAAACTTTTAGCACAATTTGCCAAAAAAAAAAAAAAAAAAAAAAAAGAAAGAACCCCCAAAAACAAACATCACATGTATTGTTTGTGTATCT